TGATAATTTAGAACTACTCCTAAATAACTCTGCATGAGTGTGTTTGATGGTTGATTGATTCCTTTTTTCATTCTTCGAGTCCTTCTTTTATACTTGCTTGGCCACGTCATGTTGTAGCTATCAATCCATGATCTTCCTTGATCTTTGCTCCACTCAACCATATCCAATATCTTCATATGAATTACTTGCAGATTTTGTTCTTTGACTTGATATTGATCCCCCCAATTTTAGCATATGGTTTCTAATTGATTTCAACAAATATCTTTATTGGCTTTATTTAAACTTTTCAAGCCACATCGTCATCTCTTCCATGCCACGTTACTAGCATACTTGTCACACCATGTCAGCATACCTGTTGACAGAAATAATAAAAACAAATGTGGTCAAGGTTATTCTTTGAAAATAGTTTATCATTTCAATTGACAGGCCATAATCGAACTTGGCCATAACTAATAAGCCACAATTGGATTGAAGAATGAAATCCAATTAAATGATTTATAAGACAATATATCACAATTGACAAAAAATATTTTTTATGGTGCAAACAATGCCCCCGCCTTATTTATATCACTAGTTTTTTCTAAGGCTTTACACTACTTATAATTGGTGTAGTTTGAGCTCTTTTGTATTTACTGAAACAAGGCATATGCTTATACTTCTAACATTTAACCCTATTTCAAATTTTGAAAAAAAAATTATAAACAAAATAATTAACTGGCCTTCTGTTGATGCAAAGTATAACCAATTGGTCATCTACTATGAAACTGTCATGTGTCGACACTAAACAATTAGCCATTTAAATTGGCCTTCATGCAAAGTATAACCATTTGGCCGTTGGCCATTATTGGTTTGGCCAAGATCATGGAACTTAGTCTAATAGTACTTAATAAATACATATTCTTTCGCTAACCTATCCAATTAAGGCTTGTTCGGCCTTCATTTCAAACTCTGTTTACTTCAGAGGAATCTTCATCTCATCCATCCTCTCCATACAAACATAATCCCAGTATGCTGAGTCACTATTCTTGAAATTGACATATTTTTCAAGGAGATTCTCTGCTTCGTACTGGGTTTGAACACGAGTGGCAGAAATCTCATCCAAAGCTTCACAGGTGGCCATGTTACTCTTATGCCAGTTAAGAAGAAGAGGGAGTTGGTCCAAGAAGGTATTAAGTTCAATCTAGGCAATTGGATTCAGGATGTAGCTTCAAGAGACTATGTCACAAGCCCATCGAAGGTTCTTATGGGGGACATCATCCTGAAGCACTTCCAAGCACAGGTGGAAGAAGACAGCAAGAAAAGTCTGAGCCTTGTACTGTTGGTTAGCAATAGAGGGAATTGGGGCTTGGTATGAGGGGAAGTGCCGGCCCTCGAAGAGGGTAAGTTTCAGTTTCTCAATCTAGTTAGGATTTTGAGGAAGGGGAGGTGCAATTGGGTCTGGCCTGAAAAAATGAGCAAATTGAGGCTCATTCACACACTCTAGCCAGTTAGAAGAGCAAAGCTTTGCCTTCCTGGCCAAACGCGAAGGGCTAAGTCCCAAAGCCTCAATTGGATTGGGGATCTTCTGCACTATTCTCATTAGCAGAGTGGTGGTGTACCATGCTAAAAGCAAGTTGTCTTCCAGGTAGCGAAGGCAATCAAACAGTACATAAGGATATACCACTGAGCTGCGAGAGGAAGGAGGAACCAAAGTGGGGTCATCAAATTCCACAAGTCTATGGTGAATTCGTTCCCTTTTCTGAGGTTGGGGCAGTTCTGGCCAAGTATTCCAGCCGGTAACAGAAGAGGCAATGACAGCCTCATCCCAAGTAGAAACCTTTGAAAAAGATGAAGTGTCTTCAAGGTCCATATGAGCAAGTTTTTGTTCGAGGTCCATATGAGCAAATTGTTGTTTTAAGGGATTGTACTCTGCGAAAGCCTCCATAACTTGTATAAATGGAGGAAAGTAAGTATGGTTAATTAATGCATGTGAATTTTTTCAAGAGTGGCAATCCGCATTCATTGCCTCTTCATATGCTTAATCAATGAAGAAGAGGGATCGGTTAGCCATGAAAAAAGCATTAGACTCTTCATTTGCTCAGTTAGTCTGCACGTCCTAGATCATGAGTCAATAAGCAACAAAAAGAGTTCTTCATTCATCAAAAGCACTTTATAATGAGTACGGATATACAGACCACAAACAAAACAAAAATAACATGGATTCCTAACAAAATCACTACAAGCTATCCAATTTAGGAGGAATTGGAATTTCGGGGTTCGGTAGAGGGACATGAGAGTATAACTCTGATCACTCAACAACTCTCATCTGCTTCATTGCCACCATCCAGCCTTCTCAAGGAAAGAAATTCTCTAGTTTGTTCATCTAATCCATATAGGTAGTGTTTGCTTCGTTCCAAGTGGCCTCTGTATTTGCTTTAAGCTTGACCTCTTGTTGACCTTTCATGGTCTCCATGGCAGTCCTTAAGGCCTCGTAGTCTGACCTTAACTTGTCAAGCTGCCGAGTTACCGCTTTAAAATTTTCTTCGGCCAACATCCGGCCCGACTTGACCATTGTAATTCTGCTATCGGCTCATGCTAATTCTTCTTCACAACATTCCCTCTTTGCTAATATTTGCTTTCTTTCATCGGCAATCAGTCTCCTCTTTCGACCTTGCGTCTCTCTTCATCATACTGATCTTTCTCTCAGGTTAGCCAAACCTCCGCCTCCATGAATTGATTGACAGCCTGCATTGTCATGTGTACTCATTAGAAACATAATAACAATAGTTAAAGGCCAAATCATGACTGTCTTACCATTACTAAGTTTTGAATGCCTTGGTCCAGAATTTGTTGGTTAGATTGTCTCTCCAGACGTCGAATGTCTTCAGGAATACGCATGCCTCGCGCCATAGCACGAGCAACCCCAACATCGGTGAATGCAAAATCACGTGTATTCAAGGTCTGATTTCCTATCATTTGTTGAAAAATATACTCTATAGGTCCTTCCGTGGCATTTCCCGTGTGCTCTTCGCTTGCTTGAATACGTTGGCGACTTGTTACCGTTCTATTCCACCAGGAAAATAGTCTACCAATCTACGTAAGCTAGGCCCACTGGCCTCCTAACTCGTTCTCTGAATAGCTTCAGACTATTTGGTCAATCGGTGTCGCGTAGACATATCAGGCGCCGAAGACTCTGATGACTCAGTTGGCATAAGAATTGCTCATGGCTAACAAATTTCTACTTGATTTACTTCTCATAATAGTAAGGGTAGTAATGGCCTTGCCTCTCAAGCTTTTTCAGGAGCCTCGGTAGCAATATAGGGGGCAGGAAGCGGTAGCACGGCTACCCATGAAAGAAATTGATTTATTAACACTTCAGTTGATCGGGAGGCAATGACAGTACATCTCCAAACTATCTACAAAGCTTGCAATTTCACACTCCAAGACTCGTTATGCCGATCTATACTTATGGAGCAATGATCTGCAAACACAAGTAATAAGAGCTTTATGATCAGTATAGCACATATAAAGGATATAGTTACAAAATATGAAAATCTTCAAGGCTCACCAACACCCAATACTAGGGCACAATTGCAGCACCCTTGGTAAAGAGAGGGGACGCGAACTCCCAACTTCCTGAAACCATGACTATGTCTTCCGATTCTATGTCAAAGGTCTAAAGAAGTAACCGAACAAGTGATCTGTCCTGATCATGGCATTTAGACGTAAGAAAGAATGCCCCAAAGGGAGCTTGGTACAGACTGTAACAATATTGCAACTCTCTCAGACCTAAATCTAAGTTTAGCATATTATTAAGAGCAAGCATTGCATTTACGATTTTAAAAAAGTTCGTGGTTAACAGGAAATGAGGGACTCCGTAATGTGATAGGATCTCACGAAAACGGGGGTGAGGGGGAAACCTAACCTCGCCATCCACTATGGAGGAAACTAGCCAAGGGATTCAATATCACTAGGGGATAAGAAATTATCATTCAGACGAGGGGATTCTATATTCACACTAGCAGGAATATTGCAAGTAGTTCAAAAATGGGATATGCCCTCTGGACTACTAAGTAAATACGCATACTTCCGCTTTTCAACGCAAATCTCTGGCAAAACTAGCGCATTAAGAGAAAGATACAAGAACACTTACAATTTGAAGAAGAATGTGATTTGAATGATAGAAGAAGGGACAGGTGTTAACACCAAACAAACCTTCGGTTGAAATGGCTGTAGAGGCAAAAATCTTGAATATCAATGCTAATGATTTGTGCAAAGGGAGAGTAAACGACACTTCCTTCTGACGCGCATGTCATTTCATTTGAATAGGTGTGCCCTCGCATTTAATACCTAATACTGATAGACGTTTCAAACTATTGACACATAACCGGGTGTAGGAATGGTACGTCGGCAAGATGTTGTGTTGATCTCTTGCTTTGAGCAAAGAATGAACCCATGAGGATCCTCACATGAAACCAAACCCAAGGATAGTACATCGGCAAGATGTTGTGCCAATCTCTTGCTTTGAACAAGGAACGGATCCATGAGGATCCTCACATGAAACCTATCCTAGGGATAGTACATCGGCAAGATGTTATCTTGATCTCTTGCTTTGAGCAAGGAATGGATCCATGAGGATCCTCCATTGAAACCTATCCCAAGGATAGTACCTCGGCAAGATGTTGTGCCGATCTCTGGCTTTGAGCAAGCAATGGGTCCGTAAGGACCCTCATACGAAACCTATCCCAAGAATAGTACATCAGCTAAATGTAGTACCGATCTCTTTCTTCAGGAAAGGAACGGATCCATTAGGATCCTCATTTGAAGCTTATTCTAGGAATAGTACATTGGAAAAAAGGTGGGATACTACATCGGCTTAGAAAGAAGCTGATCTTTTATACTAATCCCTGCAGGCTATTCCAAAGATGATACATCAGTAGTTGATACTGCTGATCTATTTCATGTGAGGATCCTCATGGATCCGTTCCTTGTTCAAAGTAAGAGATCGGCACATCTTACCGATGTACTATCCCCGGGATAGGTTTCATGTGAGGATCCTCATGGATCCGTTCCCTGCTCAAAGCAAGAGATCGACACAACATTTTGCTGATGTACAGGTTTTTTTTTTAATTATTTATTTATTTATTTTTAACATGCTAATCTCACCTGGACATGTGTTAACATTTTGAAACATCCATCAATATTAGGTATTAAATGCATGGGCACGCCTATTTAGATGAAGCAACATGCGTGTTGTAGACATCCCATTTTTGACCGCCTTTATGACTTGGACGCCTCATAGTGAACAATCAATGATGAATTAGTACGATGTGCAAACCGTTCAATTTCTTCAGCAAAGAGCTTCAATTTTGAGTTTCAAAGCCTAAAACCTTGCACCTCCTTTGGACCAAAACCTAATTTTTTTCTAGCCTAACCACTTAGAGCATCTCCAAGGGGATAGTTAAATAAGGCTTGTTAGGTATTTTAGCCAATGTAAGTCTAATTTTGAGCTCCAATAGGCTAGCTATTGGGCTAGCTACTTTACCATCCTATTTTTTTGGTGGCTACAATTGAAGAGCCTCAGAGGCTCTCCAAATAATTATGTATGTATATTTTTTAGATTTTTGTATATTTATGTCTTGGATTTGGGATTTTATATTATATATATATGTGTGTGTGTGTGTGTGTGTGTATGTAGCAATTTTATATGTTCTTTCAATTCTGTTTGATGAATTACGAAATAACTTATTTTGCATTTTGTATTTTTTTTCTCCTCATTCTACAGGTTTTGTATGTCTGTATGGGCAAATTTATTATTATTGCAAATTTATATTAGTAAAATATCAACAATTAGTATTTTTTTATTTTAAAAATTAATTAAGTTAGTTCAAATGATTAACTAAAATAAAGAGCATGATTGGAGAACACAATAGCTAAAGTAATTAGGTAAAATAAGAGTGTACTTTTTGTACTTTAGCTAGTGAAAAGTAGAGAGTGTGATTGGAGTTGCTCTTAGAGGCATGCTGGCCAACAGGTGGCTAGCAAGCAAATTTTATTGGTCGGCCATCCCCTTTCTTGGCCAGCCTACCCCGTTTCCCAGCAGGCAGATATTTACTACCAGCTATTCCCCTACATGTGCATGTCTTGCACCAGCTAGCTCTATACAGATATTTCCGACTAAGAAACCTATTTTTCTATAAATAGGTGACCACTCCTCTTGATTTTAGGTTAGAAAATTTTGTTAAGAGCCAAAAACATGTAAAACACTCTCCCTCTCTATCTTGCAATATACATACACTATGCATACACTTCCTAAACCAAAAATTTGAGGCTGCTTGCTGAGATTATTAAGCCAAATTTTCAGCTCTTGAGGGTGATCACTTGGTGGTTTGTGAACCAAAGAGTAACTCCTCTTCAAGAGGTATAACTTCTGCCATCTTTACACTACTTCTTCCTTCTCTGTTCTTGTTATTTTTTCACTGTCTTTGGACTATTTTTGTGGGCTGAAACTTGTTATTTAAAAGCTACCAAAGATGGAGGCGTTAACTACCCTTCCTTGAACCTTATTCTATAGCTTCTATCCTTGTGTTTCCCACTTAATTTTCAGCTCTTGAGGGTGATCACTTGGTGGTTTGTGAACCAAAGAGTAACTCCTCTTCAAGAGGTATAACTTCTGCCATCTTTACACTACTTCTTCCTTCTCTGTTCTTGTTATTTTTTCACTGTCTTTGGACTATTTTTGTGGGCTGAAACTTGCTATTTAAAAGCTACCAAAGATGGAGGGGTTAACTACCCTTCCTTGAACCTTATTCTATAGTTTCTATCCTTGTGTTTCCCACTTGTTTCTCAACTTTTAGCTACTATTTTTCAGAGTTTTCAGAGGCTAAATCATGTAATTTTAAGGTTCAAAAAGTGGAGGGGTTAGCCACCCTTCCTTAGGCTTGCTTACTAGCTTTGTTCTCCTCTTCTTTTACTTGCTTTTTCTAGTTTTTCAAACTAATTTTCAGCACTACTTTTGTTAGTTTGGGTATTGTTTTAGTTGTTTATTTACTTTATGCTTTGAATATTATGCATGTGTTGTTGTAAGTCCTCATAGATTTGGTGGTTTAGGCCTTAGACACCAATCTATTTGAGTTGATAGCTTTTTTTATTCCATAGTTTTGATACATATAGTCACACTTGTAATAATCATCTCTGGAACCTCTCTATTTTCTTGGTTTTCTTTCTTTTAAGAGTTGTTTCAAACAATTGATTGTTGTTTAAGGCATGGTAAAGAGACCTTCCATGTTTAATGGTTTAATCTCTTTGGAGGTTCATTATCAAGGCATTACATCTCTCTCATGCTAAGTACAAGTTCTTGTTTGACACTTCTCTTCATTAGTGGACGTAATTATCACTGTTGGACAAAAAAGAATAAAAAAATGGCAAAGTAATATAAAAGATGTTAAAATTGGACTAAAAGTGGTTAACAAGAGTAATAAAATTGGTTTGAGTTCAATCGAATGTTATATTGAACCCATTGAGTCTTGAAATCATTACATGCTCTTTGTGATGTTAACGATTCAAGAATCAATATCTACCACTTCCCTTGAGGTAACTCCATGATAGGGAGATGGTTTTGTTGGTCTTTAATTTTTGAGCCTTCGTTCTATCAATTCATAGATCATCATGCAACAACTTTGCGAATATTGATGATTTGCGAACTGAATCTACTCATTCCTTAATCAGTTTCATGATACGGAGAGGCAGAGAGGACAAACATCTCCTGGAAACACTCTGTTTTTGCTTTGTTTCATTTCTATGGCAGTAGGGCAGTACCAGAAAATAGTCCCTTGTCGGCCATCCTTCCATCCGGCCAACCACTTTCCGAGGCCAGTCGGCCAACTGATTTTATGCAGGTAGTGTCATTTTCATGACTGAACAGAGCAGAAGCTGGGGCAAAAACAGATTAATTTTCTGACTACAAACAGAATAGTTATGGCTGCGAAGCAAAGAGGTTTCCGGAAGGACATTCTCATTTGTGCACGTGCGATGCTTTATTTCTTGTGGTCCTTTAATTTAATGCTTTGATAGTAATATGTTTAAATTAATTAGATTCGTTCAAAATTGTAATAGCTAGTTAAATTTAGTTATTTGTAATAGATAGTTTAATTAGTTAATTTGGTGTTGTAATAATTAGTTTAAATTCAGGCATTTGGACCCTCTTGCATGAGGGCACACTTGTAATATTTGTGTATGTCTTCCAACCCCCATTTCTTTCTCCCTTTTATTTACATGCTTATAATGGTAGCATCACGTTTTACATTTTCATATATTGGGTTCGGTTCATCATTCTAAACTTGTTATTATTTCCTACTTAATTGAATATGTGTGCTACTGCATGCTTTGAGTTGGGCCATATGTCATGTTAATAAACAGGGCCTATTAGTTGCACTTTGTATGTGTTGCATTTGTCATTTGCATATTATAGCATACATTTTTCTAACTATCTCTTCTATTTTGGCTTGCCTCAATTAAGTACTAGGTGAGCATTTCTTGCTTTAGCATATTGCATGTATATTTATGTTGTCATATCAAGCATATTTACCATGAGGCTAAGTGCTTATTTGACATACCTCTTGAATGTCGGTGGATGAAGGCTAGTAAGCTTAAATTGTAATGATTTGATTAATGTACATGTGACCTTACCTTTTCCAATAGCGTATATTCAAAATTCTTTTCAAACAAAAAGTGAAATCAAAGCATTCCAAAGTGAGTGACTTAGTCTATACTTGTGTGCCTCACATAGAGCATTAATAATCGGAACAATAACATATAATGTACATAAAAATCACATCATGATTAGTAGAGGCCAATATTTGATCGGGTAAGTGGGGTGCTCAATTCATGACCTTCCCCTCTCATACCCACTATAACAAAACTGAGTTTTTGCAGCTTCACATTAACAACATACAGTAAATGCAAGCCATGATTTCTCACTTTTATGACTCACTTTTTTTGCATGTTGTAAATAATTTCCCAACCACGACGTGTCTATTGCATAGGCCGTGAATGCTAATAATGATGTTTTTTTACAGCTTGCAATGTTAGCCGTAAATAATAAAACTTTCTAAAATGTGCATATGACATGCCGTTAATACATCAACTATACACGACATGCGTACACCAGTTGTTAAAAATATTAAACATTTCATAGTGCACAAAAAGTCAGCTATTAAAAATATTGGACTTTTTATGGCACACAAAAAGTTAGCCATTAAAAAATACAATTTTCATGATGCACATGTGTTAGCCGCTAAAAATATTTTACTTTTCAAGACACATCATTTTTGTCGTAAATAATATGGCCAAAATAAAGATAGATGCCAAAATGAATTACTCTCGCACCAAATGATAAAATGAAATACCCTTCAAATTGGGCACAGCTCTCTCGCTAGAAATGCTAAAAACTCCTGAACTTAACAGTGATGTGCAGAAGTTACTACTACTCTCTACTCCTCTACCACAGTCTTCCATTTCAAACCCTATATGATATTCTCACCAATTTCACTCTCTCTCACTCTTTTTCTCTCTCTTCCAATTTCTCTCTCTATAACCCACAACGGCCATGGCTCTTCTCTCACTAAATTCATCGATCCAAAGTTGCCATGGAGACTAGCAAAAGGCGAGAGCAGGTTTTCAAAGACTTTCATTACCTTTTACCCGTTCTGAACTCACTCAACACTCAGCATGGTTACCTCTATTCCTATTCCCTTCTTCAAATCTAATTTCTGTGTACCCTTTTGCTGTTTTCTTGTTGGGTTTTTAATTTTTTGGAGAAAAAATTATGTTTTTGATTTTGGGTTTTTTGTGTTTAGATGGATCGGTATCAAAGGGTAAAGAAACCAAGGCTAGAGACGCCGATTAACGAGAATGAGATTCGTATAACCACTCAGGGGAGGATAAGAAACTACATTACTTATGCTACCTCTCTCTCTCTCTCTCTCTCTATGTATACAAATTTAGAGAGCTCACTGTATTGGTGTTGAATTTTACTGTTGAAATCTAAGCATTGTGAGATTGTTTTACATGGTCTGTTTAGAAGTACGTTTGAAACTACTTGTTTTTCTCTTTTGAGCACTGAAAAACAAGAATGATTGGTCAAAGACTAGTTTGTCTCTTCCTCTGTTCATTTGGCCATGGTTGTATTGCTCTCTGCCCTTTTTTGGCTATCCCATTTGCTTTAATACAGAGATCAGAAGGATCTAGTTTTGGATTTTTAAGTTGGAGGTGAGTTTTGGTTTTTTTTTTTTTTTGGGGTATCAACATTGTCTAATTGCACAGATCTGCCATAGATGGTTTCATGGGTTTTGAATATTTTTGCTCATTTTGGGTGGTTCTGTTGTTGAATTTGTATGTGAATGAGACAATATTGTTTAAATGTGGTCTTTTTATTGGGGAAAGTGAGTTTGAAGGCAGTGTTTTTTCTTTTTGAATTAGTAAATTTTGTGAATTTGATAGATTACTGAATCTCCCTTCGTTGCCAAGGGAATACTGTTCTACTTAAAACTACATGAGGTGCAAGCACTAATTCTAAAGGAGGCTTCCTATAAAATATTTTCCCATCTTGCTCATTTATGTCTGCCATTTCCTCCTTCAAAATATGGCCAAACGATCTTGCTCCTCCATCATGTTTGCATTTTCTTGTGAATTAGAATCTTGTCCTGTTTATGTTAAAACAAAAAAGTTGTTTCCAATTTTATTCAATTTTATAAACGAGTTCTTCTTTCCACTTGTTTTTTTTATTTGCTATGGCTATTCTCTTGTTTGAACTTGTATATTGTCTGTACTCGCACCATGAGGAGTTGAGTGCATTTTACTTCCACATTTGCTTTACCTATGTATTGTACTTGTTAAAAAGGATATATTTGAGATTTTATTTCTTATGGCTTGTATCTTGTTTGTGAAAGACACTATAAGAGGAGTAGACCGTAAGCGGAGTATACTATTTGAAAATATATGTGCCCTACAGTTTGAATAAACATTTTTCTTACACATTATATTAATACATTGTTGAAATCTTCACATCTACTACCTTCTAGGATGTTGTTGATCTGTCCCTTGTAATTTATCACTACTCTTATGGTCAGAACCCCTCAGTGTGTGACTATGTGCCTACATAATAATTACTTCTCAAGCTATACATATTAATATTTATCTGTTTTCAAAATAGTTCTTTCTTTTTCCTTTTCTTTTTCTTTAAAATGATATCTGTGAAACTGATGATTTCACATTTTCCTTTACTTCTCCTGAATAACACAATCTAATATATTAATATTTGACATTTGGGGAAGTTATTTGATATGTAGACCTTTGGATTTGTGTATGAGCTGCTTTCTTATTCATTGATTTCACTAAGTTTGAGGATTGTCTTAAACTTAGCTCATTTCCTTGCAGCTTTTGGCAGAGGATCCATCATTGAAGCAGTTCAAATCACATAAGAAAAGTGTGTGGCGACTCAAAAGAGTTGGAGATGTTCTCACAATCATTGTTGTAGCTGGTAAGCTAATGCCTTCAATTAATTTAAGCATAAATTATATCAGCGCATCCTTAATTATTGACAAATATCAATTTATGATCAAATTTTTTTTTATAGAAACTATTAATGTGACTTCATTTTTACATGCTAAAATAAAACATTAACCTTCCTTGGTGCTAACAAATGAAAATAATGAAATTAACAAACTTACTTTGTTTATAAAAAAAAATAAATAGATAAAGTATACATTCATGGTAAATAAAACATTCTAAATGCCAACTATTTCAAGAAATTGACACTTCTAATTAATATAGGCACATGATCTTATGATGAGAATTCTAATTTGACTTTATTAAATTCCTGGAGGGGAAGATATATTTGCAGTCATGTTTTAGTTTCGTCAGGTGATTGCTAATATTGCTATTGATCTAATAACTTTCAGAAATATTTGATCTTTCATTCTAGTAACCTGTGTCTCTGGTTGGAGTCATCCCCTCTATCCAATGGGACAACAATTTGCACTGTTGTACCTTATTTATTGTGAACTTGTGATCTATTTGGTTAGTGTCTAGAAAAAATGTCCTCCCTGATTTAGCTTATCTAGCTTAAGCACAACTCCAACTTGATAAAATTGTTCATTGTTGTACCTTGTTTGTTGTGACCTGTGTTACTAGTGTATAAAATTTTCCTTCTTGATTTATCTTAGCTTAAGCTTAACTCCAACTTGACTAGTCTTGTTCAAGCTTTAGGTTCTCTTCGTTTGTTTGATAGTCCTATTTCGAAATATAATTGTTATTGTTATTCTAGTGTGCTAATCTATTTAGTAAATTACTAAAACTAATAATTATTCCTTAATTTGCGATTTTTAGAAGGCATGATTTATGGCTTTTAAAAAGGAAATATTCAAGTTAATACTCTCTATTTAAGTTAAAATGTGCATTTACTTTGTGTTTTATATGCAAGTTTCCATTGATGAGTACCGTGATTTTTATGTAAGTTGGTGTATTTATGTTTATATATATATATATATATATTGGCAAAGGATTTCTATAGGAAGAGCATTGTAAAACTTTGCAACGCAATGAGAAAATGATATCGAAAGAATCATTCTATGGAATTAGTATCTCATGTTGATCAGGTAATTTGAACCCACTATGAAGATGAGAAAGTAAATGAGACTGTATTTTAGCCAAAAAGCCAAAAAGTCAACTAAAACTAATCACATCACCTCTCTACTTTTCTGCACATCTTTTCGTAAAAAGCCAAAAAGTTACTAAAATAACCTGTTCCCAAACGAGGCCTAATCCTGTCTGGTTTTGAAGTTTTTAATTCGTACTTTTTTATTTTTATTGAATTTTTCTTAATATTTTGGTAAATTATTTTATTTTATCTTGTTCATTGGGTTTGTGTCACCCACTTACTTATTTGGCACCGATTCAGAAGTTCTGGAAATTGCATGGTTTGGCACCGATTCAGAAGTTCTGGAAATTGCATGGTCCGGTATCTTGGTAAGAAACTACTTGTCTTGGTCTTCCTTTATTGAAGATCTTTGTGTCTTCTAGATAGAATCTCATAGGGATCTACCAGTGAAAAACCAGTGTTTTCCTTATTTGCGTGCTCTTTGTTCTCGTACTATTGACATGGTAAAGTATTTCGATTTCTTCCAAGTTTTCCCCCCCTTTGGTACAAGTACTTTGTGTTTTTGGTACTGGGCAATAGCTATAATTCCGTGTCAATCGTTTGAATAGTTTTGTTACAAAGCATGAATATGATTAGTTATGTCTTCTTGTTTATTACAGGTTCAGGATGCTGTTGGAAGCACTATTTCTTGGCCAACCCATTTCATTAGATTTGACTATGAGTAGAAATCCTAACATCTATGGATAGTTTTTGAGGACTTTAATGAATAGATTCCTATAATCTTTGAATAGTTTTGGCTAATGTTTACAAACTCGTATATGTACCATTTTGGATGGTTTATAACTTTTTGGATAATTTAAACTTAAGAATAGTCCTTTTGGATGGTTTTGAACTTGCGGTTAGTTTTTGGATGTTTGGAATGTATATTGACAATTTTTGAATGTTCATAATTTATGGATATAGTTTATTTTTTATGCTTGAAACAATATTTTGATGGTTAATTGATATATATATATATATATATGTTTGTAAAGCTTGTTTGTAATGTTTTCTTATATTGTACAGGTAAAATAAAACTTGCTATTTTTGTTTAAATAAAAAAAAACATATTCTACGGTATGCAAAAAATGCTGTGAATCTTAGGCTACCTACAGCAGGCAAAATAGGTCATTGTATTAAATATTCAATGATTAGCAATGAACGTCGTGGTTTGTTCTTCTAACGCCTTCAAAATAAACCCATAAATTATTCAACAATAGCATGCTTAGACATAAGGAAATAAAGTATAAATATATTCCATCAGAGTAATCATTACAAAATGGATTACATGTTGACAATGAAAATAAATGCCTTATGGGCTTACAACTTTTCAAGTCAACACTTGGTTACAAAAAGAGAGTACTAACTCTATACAAAGAAAGCCATTGGCTTGATATACATGTAATACATCAAAAGAAAACAAAACAACAGAAACAGTCTGTCTGCCTCTAGCCTTCCAAGCTATGTCCTTGGAGGTGGCATGCTACCTGTACTTGAAAATGATGTCCCATAAAGGGTGAGTCACAGCCTAGTAGAAATATACTAAACCAACTATAAACAATGACTAAAATAATAACATTCAATAGATGGTCCCCACTTGTATTCCAACATATATCGTATTACAGTTTCACGATAATCATGCTTATGGCACACTTCGGTTTCCATTTCTTATTCAACTTCGAGTTTGAAAACAAGGCTTAGAACCTAACCAGATAATTTAATGAGATTAAGACTCATCTTTAAAACACTTTCGAAATTCATGATGGATATACATTTTGGTGCTGTATCAATAACACATAGAAACATTTCTATACTTCACAATTGATAACGATATACATTTTAGTGCTATATCAAATCAATTCAAACACTTCCATAATCCACACTTGATACACATTGTAGTGCTGTACCAATGTCATACAAAATCCGATTTAGAGGTCCATCCACTATCTTCCCCTAAACCGTGAAGTACATCCCCTATCTCCTCCCACACACAATGTATATAAACATAGATCATATACACAATCAATCAATACATAAAATTAATGTATTATTCCAATCGCTATACTCGATAACATACTCAAACGATTAGTTTTAGTTTGCCTAATCATCATGCATTGTCTACAACAATCAAGACTATCCTCCACCGATAGCCCAAAGTAGTTATTTCTAAACAGAAAATAAATGCACCAAATGGATAAAATATCAACATTTCAACTAGGTGAGTGATAAATGATCTAACTACACCCTTTAATCTCATACGTTCCCAATTTCAACATTCTCAATTCAACTTCTCGTTTCTCAAAACTAATTTCACAAATTAATTTATCAATGTAATTAGGGCATTTCCCTTAATTAACAAAACAACCCTAAGGTTCCATTTCTATCAATAACCCAACATTTATCTCATTTCTCCATGCTAAACATGCATATAGGCTTATATAAATAAAACCCCATCTTTTGTAAAATTAGACAAAGACCCAAACTTTCTCAAAATTACCCAACAATCCCCAACATATCAAAATGTTAAAATTTAAAGACAAAGCTCATAAGGAGGAGTAGGATATCCCTACCTCGAAGTTAGAGCTCCATCGGAGGAGATGAAGAAAACGAAAATGCTCTAAACACCAAGATTCTCAGATTAAAATGTAGCCCTCAACGATCAACACACTTTTTACAAAGGCCGAAGGATAGGGAGACACTCTGACTAGATCAAACCCTAGAGAGAAGGAAGATCTTAGAGAGAGAGGCTCTCAAAAACGATTTTGGGAAAGTAAGAGAGAGAAAGGAAATGTAAAAAGTGATTCAAAATTACCCAGCTGCCCACTGATATACGACACTCCCGCTCGAGCGGATAATAGAACGCTCGAGCGTCAAGCACAAAAATCTGGACACGCTCGAGCGCAAGAAGGACCGCTCGAGCTCCAAGACACAAGAATAAAATGCATCCGCTCGAGCACGAAAACCAGTCCGTTCGAGCGTAGATTTCTCCCTCCCAGAACTTTCACAGACAAAGCACCACCCGCTCGAGCGCCAACATACCCGCTCGAGCGCGACCCGCTCGAGCGTAGGAACCCGCTCGAGCGTGAAAAACATACCTGCAGAAGTTTTGCAGGGACATGAGATACTGGGAGTGTGTAAATCCCGCTCGAGCGGTCAATGAAAAACCAAACTCCGCTCGAGCGCAGAATGATCCGCTCGAGTGTAACACCAAAAACCTGGGTAACTACACTTGAGACCAAAACTCAACCTATCTGTTCAGAACACGCCCAACATATCCTATAAGTTGTAGAAAAGTCAAACACGATGTACAAGATCCGTCGTTAAATATTTTTTACGGAGTACTATAATATGCCGTTGATGTGAATGACTTTCCATGACTAGTCATAACACAGCTTTATCTTGCACGTTGTAGAATCATTTTCATGACGTACATTTGGTGCCATAAAAACCCTTTTTTGTTGAAGTGACTGTGGACACCCCGTTTTTGACCGTCCTCAAGACTTGGATGTGCTTGCAGGTACATCCGGTGACAAGTTTGGTTGCTCGTTGAGTACTTGAATTTCGCGACGGAACGTCACAGGTTTGAGCTTTCCAAACCCTGTTTCCTTTCTATCTCATTTTTGGACCATGTGTTGGTCCTTTTAGCATGATTCTTGTGATGCACTGCCGACCACTTTTTGCCATTGCCGACCATCAATTTAGCCCTACCGGCCATTGATGAGGCCTGCCAGCCATCAATGAGGCACTGCCGGCCACCACTGATGGCCGGCCAGCCACCATGTTTCAACAGATATTATTTTAGATCTTTTGAGCCAGCTGTGGCTCACTCAGCCATCCTCCATACACGTGTATGGAGGGATGGAGGCAAGTTTAAGCTTGTCAAGCAAGCTTTTGCTTGCATTGCTTATATAAGGGGAGGTGCCTCCCCCTTCTAGGGGGTTCACAAGATTTTCAGAGTTGAAATCTCTCTCTTTCTCTAGAATTCTTACTCTTTCTCTCTCTATATTGTGCTCAATAGTGCCTTAAAGTGTGTTTTCTCCATATATTTGCACTACAACACCTAGTCAAACACCATTACCTTATTGCTGAGGTATTAGAGGGTTTTGTTTGGACTCAAAAAGCTGGTTTTAGCTCAGAGAAGTTGTTGTTTTAAAGTTGTGCTTCAAGGGTGAGTGTCTTCCCTCTTCAAGCTTTATTTTTATCAAGTGTTTGGCCACTTTTGTGTGCTGTTTTAGGCCTTGCTTTCAACTGCAAAAAGCTTTTTTTTTTTAAGTGTTAAAGATGGTTGTTCGGGGCCTTGTGGAAGTTGGGGGTGTTTCACCCCCTTGTATGCCTTATTTGTTAAGCTTTTGTAATAGCCTTTTTATGGCCTTTCTACCACTGAAACTCAGAGGAATTTCAGTGGTGGAAAGGTGGTTTTGAGGTCCAAAATGAGAGGGGGTGGTCCCCTCTCCTCTTGTCTTGCTTGCTTGCCTTGTTGGCCTCATACTTGAGCATACATTTCTCCTTCTTTTGAGCTGAGTTCAAGCATGTTTTTGTGAACTTTCAGACCTGCCATAAGTTTGTTTTTGGTTGGTTTGGTCATTGGTTTCTTGCATCTTATACTTGTAGTGCAATCATGCTTGTTGGCCTAACATGCTTCATGCTTTAGTTCATCATTCTAGCATGTGTTAGCTTTGCTCCAGCACATTTTTGCCACTAATTTAACATGCTTGAGGTCTGTTTTAAGTGGTCTTGGTCATATATGCTTAGCTTTGAATAGCTATAGTGTAGTTGGCCTTCATTAGCTTTGTGTTTGAGTTCCCTAGCATGCTTTGAATGTGATGATTGCATGCCTTAGCCTCATTTCTTACATGATTTCAGTATATATGGTATAGTCACTCTCTCATATATTTCCCTCTTTCAATGCATTTTGAGAGGTGTGTCTTATGCCTTGTTTGTGAGCCAATACGTATGCATGCTTGTCTAAGCTTTTAGGCTATCATTTCAGCATATTTTGGCCTTTGATTTGGCATGATTGAGCTCTGTTCAGAGCTAGTTTGGCTGTTTAAGTCATGTATTGCATGCCTCTTGTGTGAATGCCTTAACTAGCTTTGAGTTTTAGGGCCTCTTACATGCTATACTTGTGTTGTTTACGTGATATGGCATCATTTAATACATAATTTCAGAGCATATAGCCTTGTTATACTCTCATGTTTATCACTCTTTCAATGTGTTTGAGAGTTAAGCTTTGTGCCTCACTTGTGAGCCATAAGTTGAGCATGCATTTCTTGCTTCTTGTGCCTAAATTCTAGTGTGTTTTGGTCACTATTTTGGAGCATCTTAGGTCTGTCCATGGCTGGTTTGACCATTTGAGATTAGTGGTGCATACCTCATGTGTAATGTTTTTCACTTGCTTTAGTGCTCTTGGCTCCATAACATGTCTTGCATGCATTGATTCCATGATAGAGTCTTGTGCATGCCACCTTAGCATTGGTAGATGAGCATGTTGCATTTTGCATTGCATCGTGTTCAACCGGACGTTATGTTGAACACAAGGTGGATTGGCCCACTTCATACTCAAAGTGATGAAAGTGAGCCAATCCCCTTTGTCTCCATTGCCTTTGATCACTCATGATAAGGTCGTGGTCTTAGTGTCTTGTTTGTTGTGCATTCATCAAATTTGTGCAAGTTGGATCTTTGGCCATCATGAATTGTGATGCTTGATTGATGGTCTTGGATCCAATGATGCCTCTTCCTTGATGTTTTGAGGTGATATGGAGTGGCATAGTACGTACATGCCCTAGGGAGACCCTTTATTTCCTCTGTTTTTGTGCTCTGTTGCAGAATGGTGTCACAGCACACCAGTGGCCG